GGAAATTGCACAGAAAAACCGGTAAATTCCTCACTGCATCTGTGTGAACCCAGGCTCAATGGCTGTAGTGAAGAGAAGGCTGCAGATAATCAGGTCCAACGTATGTAGTAGGATTTGTTTCATCTCTGTATATCACCTGAGGCCAGTCACTTCACTGGGTATATGTAAGGGTTTACAACCAGTTTAAGGTTCCCCTGCCTTTTGGCTTTAGAGACGCTTTAAAGGAAGATTATGTGATGGCATTTTAGCAGTGCAGTAAACAGAGGCACCGTTCTCCTGTGAGGACGCACAAGACACCACAGAGAACTTGACCACTACAAGTCAAAGGCTCTTTGTACTCAGTAGTTGCTGCTGACCCGCTTGGTGGTTTAATACTGAGACAATGTTGTTTTAACTAGACTAAGGCATGAGTGTACAAACCACAGGTCGCAATAAAATGTGTCCTCAAACATATATTTCACACACAAAAAAAATTGTTTGGGCTATAAAATGATCTATACTCTGCAAATATTGCTTTATAACTGAGCGCAAAACGACATGCATATATGGAAAGTATCACCCTCCGACATGACACGTTGCACAGCCTCATTCTGCTCCAAGAATAAATGATCATGTATGGTATGGCGGGATATTTATTGTAGGTCTATATTTAGATGCGTTCTATACAGCAGCCATATGTAATGTAAACTTCTACCACATGCTGCTGATGTTAGGATGAGGTCAAATCTTGTTTGTGAACAGGAAATTAAATGCTGATTAATCTCAAAGCTGTAGCTGAGGCTGAAGTTCTATCAATGCCAAGGCAAAATGTTGTTCTAGGAAATAAACTGAGTATCTTCCATGAGTTGCGAGGTGTTAGAGTAACCAGTATTTAATCACCGAGTTCTGCCTGCACAGATTAGTATGGATATAAAATGTCATTTTCCACACACTTAAAGGCATAGATCACCTTTACCAGAAAGCTTCCTATGAGTGGCAGACTGACAACCCATGGGGCCCCCAGGCAATAGGGGATCATGGGCCCCCTGTGTCCTTGTCCAAACTCAAAAAAGCCTATGAACAAAGTACCAGGGGCATCTCATGGGGCCCCCTACTGACCCTGGGCCTTCGGACAGTGCCCGAGTTTCCAAATGGTCAGTCCGCCCCTGCTTCCTATGCAGATAAAGGGCACCTGTAGTGCAAGCAAAATGTGCAGCTCTGACCAAGTTGAATAATGCCCTTGCTATAGGTGTAGGTCTTTTATATACCTTGTGAAGCCTGGCTGAAAAACTCCCAGAGATGGCATCATCAAATGCTGCCTTGTTGCTAGGATGTTACTAAGAGACTCATAACTCTTACCGTTCACCTCCACCGTTACGGAGTGAGCTCTCAAATGTTTTCTCAGAGCTCAGGGGAGAGCGCATGTGAGCGGGGGAGGGGGTGGAATTGGAGGAGCTCACTCCTGTGATGATGGAGGTGAACAATAAAAACTAGGAGTATCTTAGCAACAAGACAGGATGGTATAACGTGATCTCTGGGAGTTTTTCAGCCAGGCTTCAGGATGTACATAAATGGCCTACACCAGTGGTGGGCAACCTTTTTTTTCAACTGAGCCAAATCTCGCCAAAACCACGATTGAAATTTATTTTGAGAGCCACATTTTTAAAACTGAAAATACATCCCCCATATAGTAATTCATCCCCCATAGTAATTAATCCCCCATATAGTAATTCATCCCCCATATAGTAATTCATCCCCCATATATTCATCCCCCATATATTCATCCCCCATACAGTAATTCATCCCCCATACAGTAATTCATCCCCCATATAGTAATTCATTCCCCATATAGTAATTCATTCCCCATATTGTGTCAATTCACTTACCTTTGCTCCACGCGTTCCTCTCGCCGTGTTCCCGCGCCGTTCCGGTCTTCAGGGCGGACTGTGAGAGGAGAGGAGTTCGTCATGCTGCCCCGCCTACATCCTGGCTGCCCCGCCTACATCCTGACAGCCAATGTTTGCCACGCTCCGCGGGCCGTAGTTTGCCCATTGCTGGGCTAGCTGCAGAGTCCTGACTTTTGGGGCGACCGCCCGAGAGGAGGGAGGGGAGCGGGCGCCCGGCACACAGAAGAGCCGCATTAAAATGTGTAAAGAGCCGCATGTGGCTCGCGAGCCGCGGCTTGCCGACCACTGGCCTACACCAATAGCAAGGACATTATCCAACTACGGTCAAAGCTGCACAGTTTATTATCTACAGGCTCCCCTTACCAGTATAGGCAGGTTTTTTCATAAAGGTGAATTAACCCTTTAAACTGCCCATACACTGATCAAAGCTTAGCAGGGTCACCAGGGTTGTCCTTAGCAGACGTTGATCAGGTGATGCTGGGACATGCTAGAAAACTCGGATGAAGGGACTGCTCGAATTTCACTCATTGTGTGGACTCCTACTAAACAATCAACTTCTGTTCAGTGAGGTTTCTGACGAAGAAACATGATGGAAAATTCTCCCTTAAAAAGCAACTGAAAACAATCCGTGACAATGCAGTGGTTTCTGTTAAATTGTTTAATGTCTTTTTATGGAATGTGTAATTGCATCAATTAGTGTTTTTTTTACATCTAGCTGGAGTTTAGCTTTAGAAGGAATAATACACTGCTCAAAAAACTTAAAGGAACATTTTGAAAACACATAGATCTCAATAGGGAAAAATATCATGCTAGATATCTACACTGATATGGACTGGGTAATGTGTTAGGAACATAAGGATGCCCCATCGTTTGATGGAAATGAAAATTATCAACCTACAGAGGACTGAATTCAAAGACACCCCAAAAATCAAAGGGAAAAAATTATGCAGCAGGCTAGTTCATTTTGCTGAAATTTCATTGCAGTGACTGAAAATGGTACTCAGTAGATTGTATGCCCCCCACGTGCTTATATGCATGCCTGACAACATCGGGGCATGCTCCTAATGAGAAGGCGGATAGTGTCCTGGGGTATTTCCTCCCAGATCTGGACCAGGGCATCACTGAGCTCCTGGACAGTCTGAGGTGCAACCTTGTGGCATCAGATGGACCGAAACATGATATCCCAGAAGTTTCCTATTGGATTTAGGTCAGGCGAGTGTGGGGGTCATTCAATGGTATCAATTCCTTCATCCTCCAGGAACTGCCTGCATACTCTCGCCACATGAGGCCAGGCATTGTCCTGCACCAGGAGGAACACAGGACCCACTGCACCAGTGTAGGGTCTGACAATGGGTCCAAGGATTTCATCCCAATACCTAATGGCAGTCAGAGTGCATTGTCTAGCCTGTAGAGGTCTGTGTCCCCCTCCATGGATATGCCTCCCCAGACCATCACTGACCCACCACCAAAACAGTCATACTGAACGATGTTCTCCGCGGCTTCTCCAGACTATTTCACAACTGTCACGTGCTCAGGGTGAACCTGCTCTCATCTGCGAAAAGCGCAGGGCACCAGTGGTGGACCTGCTAATTCTTTTGTTCATTGGCAAATGCAAATTGAGCTTTATGGTGCCAGGTAGTGAGCACAGGGCCCACTAGAGAACACCAGGCCCTCAGGCCACCCTCCTGAAGTCTTTCTGATTGTTTAGTCAGAGACATTCACACCAGTGGCCTGCTGGAGGGCTATGGCAGTGCTCATCCTGTTCCTTCTTGCACAAAGGAGCAGATACCAGTTTTGTTGATGGGTTAAGGACCTTCTACGGCCCTGTCCAGCTCTCCTAGAGTAACTGCCTGTCTCCTGGAATCTCCTCCATGCTGTTGAGACTGTGCTGGGAAACACGGCAAACCTTCTGGCAGTGGCACGTATTGATGTGCCAACCTGGTGGAGTTGGACTGCCTGTGCAATATCTGTGGGGTCCAGGTATCTCCTCATGCTACCAGTAGTGACTTTGACCCTAACCAAATGCAAAACTAGTGAATAACAGTCAGAAAATATGAGTAGGGTAAAAAATGTCAGTGGCCTCCATCTGTAAAACTATTCCTGTTTTCGGGGTCACCTCATTGTTGCCCATCTAGTGCACCTGTTAATTTCATTTACACCAAAGCAGTTGAAACTGATTAACAACACCCTCTGTTACTTAACTGACCAGATCAATATCCCAGGAGTTTTATTGGCTTGATGCTATACTCTGCTAAAAAAAAATTAAAGGAACACTCTTTAATCAGTGTATATATTTTATCTGTGATAACCTGGTAGTGAATATGTAGTATTCTGCAAATTGCATCTATATATCTATCCATTCAGTCGTATCCGACCCTTGGCGATTGCATGGACTGTCACTCGTAAGCGACTTTTTCCATGAATTCTCTTAGCAATTATTTTACAGGGTAGGTTGCCAGGTCTTTCCCCAACCCCTACCATGCAGGAAATCCCACATGGCCAAGGATGAAACTAGGACAATTTAGACAGGAGCCAATTAACCTACCAGCATGTCTTTGGAGTGTGGGAGGAAACCGGAGTACCCGGAGGAAACCCACGCAAACACAGGGAGAACATGCAAACTCCATGCAGGAGGCGCCGTGGTTGGGAATCGAACCCATGACCCAATTACTGCAAGGCAGAAGTGCTAACCACTAAGCCACTGTGCTGCCCAAAATTGCACCTATAAATTTCACTATTATAAATGTGTCATTCCAATGGTTATCTTCAGGTTATCATAGATCTTACAGTTCATTGATTTGCTTGACAACTGCAATTGGCTTCTGATATCAGTTAATTTCTGATCTAACATAAATATGTAATTATCTCTCCAAGCATGTCATTCTTGTTAGTGCTTGTGGGGTGAATGGTGACCTCTGAACAGACGGTTCTTTCATCTGGTAGAGGCAGATTTCATATTTTCTGTAAAACAGCCCCATCTGCTGGTCAGTCTACTCCAATCCTATCCAGTGAGAACATGAAATATATAATGTACTGTGCATGTGCAGATCAACAACATTTACTGAAATGTCACTTCACCTGTCTTTTTTTTTTTTTTTTTTTTTTTTGTCTTAGTGCACGCCGGCAGACAACAAACCGGCCCCCACCAGGAGGAGGAAGACCCAAGCCTCAGCCTAAACCAAAACCAAACGTGCCACAATGCAAGGCCCTATATGCATATGATGCACAAGATACAGATGAACTTAGCTTTAATGCCAATGATGTCATAGATATAGTCAAAGAAGGTAAATATGATAGATGTGATCCTCTCACACTGTCCTTGTATGTAGGTCCAGTCAGCTTTGATGTCATCAGTTATGCTGGGTTGATGGCTGAATTGGCTGCATATAAATCAAAATGTATTTAAAAGAAAAGTTCACCTTAAAAAAAATAATACACATTTTTTTGCATGTATAAAAATTTGCATTTACATTTTTTTCTTCTTAGGGCCTGGAAAGCATTGCACCCAAAATCAGCAGATCATGGGTGCTGTATCAGCTCCTGTAGACTGTCAGTGTAGCTGTCTGCCCGTACCTCTGATAAAAGCAGGCAATTACTGAATGACAGGAAAAATCAATGAAATAAGAGGATGCTCACCAGCGCCCTCATAGATCGATGAGAACTACAAGCTGTCAGCCACAAAGGCTGTTTGTACTTGTAGTCTATTCAATCTCAGAACTCTGAATGGACGCGGCTGTGTGGGGGGACAGAGCCTTGCATGGCTACGTTCTTTTCAAATTATGACAGCGGGTGTGGGGAGAAGATCCCCAGCCGACTGTCACGGGGGGAGATCTGCAGGAGCAGGAACATGCTACATGTTCCACCCTAAACACGGGTGGAACATGTTCCCAAAAGTGAACTTATCCTTTAAGAGGCTGATAATGTTCTTGTGAAAATGAAACCATAGACCACCCATCCAAATGTATGTTTACCAACTCCATCCTGTTTGTAAACAACAATCATCTTTACAATGTATCTTTCCCCCAACAGATCCTACTCTGAAAGGCCAGTTAAAATAAAAGATGTAAATCTTTGCTGTATGGGAGGGGGGGTGGGGGGTAGAAAGGTACTGAATGCAAGAATCTGTAAAGCTGACTTCTGTCACAGGAGGCTATCAGAGCATCCCACAATGCCAGGGGAGGGCACTAGACCAGGGGCGGACTGACCATTTGGAAACTCGGGCACTGCCTGAGGGCCCGGGGTCAGTAGGGGGCCCCATGAGATGCCCCTGGTACCTTTTTCATAGGTGTTTTTGAATTTGGGCAAGGACACAGGGGCCCCATGACCCCCTATTGCCTGGGGCCCCATGAGTTGTCAGTCCGCCCCTGCACTAGACTGAACACAAGAGGCAATGCTCTGAAAAGAAGTACAGTCATGGCCAAAAATATTGCCACCCCTGCATTTCTGTCAGATAATGCACCATTTCGCCCAGAAAATTGTTAGTTACAATTGTTTAGGCATTCTCATGTTTATTTTGTTTGTATTGGTATGACACAAAAAAGTAAAGAAACAAAAAAGCCAAATCTGATTCCACCATTCCACGCAAAACCCCAAAAATGGACCAGACAAAACTAGCACCTTCTCAAAATTGTGAGAAATAATTGCCTACAGTCAAACATGGTGGAGGTTCACTGATATTTTGAGGTTGCCTTGTTGCTTCAGGCACTGGATGTGTTGACCCGTGTGCATGGCATTTTGAAATCTGAAGACTACCAAAGAATTCTATGGTGCAATGTAGGGCCCAGTGTCAGAAAGTTGGGTGTCCGTCATGGGTCTTACAGCAGGGCAATGACCCAAAGCACACGTCAAAAAGCACCCGGAAATGGTTTCAGACAAAACACTGGAGAATACTGATCTGGCCAGCAATGAGACCAGATCTCAATCCCATAGAGCACCTGTGTAGAGATCTCAAAACAGCAGTTGGGAAAAGGAATTCTTCCAATCTGACAGACTTGGAGCAGTTGGCGAAAGAAGAGTGGTCCGAAATTCTAGTAGAGGTGGAAGAAAAACTCTTTGATGGTTACAAGAAGTGATTGATTTCAGCAATTTTTTCCAAGGGGTGTGCTACCAAATATTAAATTGAGGGTGCCAATAATTGTGTCCAGTCCATTTTTAGGGTTTTGTGTGGAAGACGTCAGATTTGGCTTTTGTTTCACCACTTTTTTGTCATAACAATACAAACAAAAGAAATAAACATGAGAATTACTAAACATTTGTAATTGCAATAATCTTCTGGGCGAAATGGTGCATTACCTGACAAATGCAGGTGTGCCAATATTTTTCGCCATAACTGTAGATGTGCCTGAGCAACACTGAGGATCCAGGTCCTTATCCAAGTAGGGAACAGGTAAAGCTGGTCTCGGTCAACCTTGTAGGTCATGGTTATTTCTGGAGAAGTGGGATGCCTAGGTATACCGTGTGCCAAATGGAAGCTTTTCATGTCCTGAGGAGGTAGAGGCCCGATGGGGCACAGTTCCTGAATTCAGGTTATCATTTGGACTAGAGCAAGGGGTCCAGGCATGAGATGAACGCAGGGAGGCTGGGGGAAGGTACGTTTGTCTGTGTAGTGGTACTAGGGGCATAATAATAAACAGGAGGGAACACTATAAGCAACAGTTATCCTGTGGGCATAAAGGGGACTCTCTTCCGAATGAATTCCGGAGAGCCAAATTGTGTAAGGTGTGAAGTGGTGCTGCACCTTCATACAGAGGACTATTCTGAGGGGTTACCTGACTTCTAAGTTGAAGTCTTATGGGCTGACTCAGGTTCTGAGGGGGCTGAGAGCACCTACTGAAGAAGTATATGAAGGAAAAAGGTGGGATGCATCCAACCTCTTATGGATCTTCTACTTTGCGGCAACAGTACACATTGACCACCTGAGGCATTACAAATCATGATGTCAATGCAGATCCAAAGAGATGATTTCCCTCAAAGGCCAAGTGAGTTAGTTGCTCCTTGGTTATGTCATTGATGTCCCAACAGTGTCACCAGAGTGATCTGTGCATCTGAACGTCAGACCCATTTAGGATATAAGCTTAGATGCTCGTAACAAACCATAACAACGAAAACACTTGTCTAGTGGTGTTCCTGTTAATGAATAGATCACCATTTATTCTCAAAGGGGAACAGTCCCATCTAGCTCTGAAGTGGACCCTTCAGGGAGTTTACAGTCCGCGCAGGGAAATAGCTGGTATAAAGGGAAGGTCTTTTGCAGCTGAACGTGCACCTTCTCTAATCTGATGATCAATAGAGGCCAAACTGTTCAACAGCTAGTGATGGTGGCCAAAACTTCACTTACTACTCAATAGGCATAAATATGCAGGCTAGTGAGCGGTCTATTTTATGAAAGATCTTCAAGGAGCATCATTTGGTGACTGAGTTCTGTTGTCACTGTGTTGGTTTAAAAGGGATATAAATGGAATTGGGTAGAGTGTAATGCTAAGGTAGCATAAAAAGACAATAAAAGGCCTTAAGTCGTTTTTGCTGTGGCCATAGTAACAAGTTGGTCCACTAGATTTTTTTTTCTCAATAGTATAAAAACCTTCATAAAACCAAGGGCAATAGGGGGTGGATTTACTAATGGAAAATAGACTGTGCACATTGCAAGTGCAGTTGCTTCAGTGCTTCATAAATTAGGCGAAGCTTCACTTTGCACAGAATACCCTATCACACGCAAGGGAAAAAACATTTTGCTTGCTCATGATTGGATGTTGGAATCAAGCAGAGCTTCTCCTCATTTACTAAGCTCTGGAGCAACTGCACTTGCAAAGTGCATAGTCTATTTGCCTTTAGTAAATCAACCTCAATGTGTACTGCCTCACCTTCCTCATTTTCAGTATGAAATCCAATGCTGCAATTTCTCTTACCAACATTTTAACATTACCCAGCCTTAATTGATGGCACATTCCTCAAATAAAAGTCTACTTCCAAAAAATAAAAAAACAATCTACTTGTCTAATGCTTACATTAGGTGATTTGCCTGATTCCAGTGATTCTATATCCATGTATTACATTTATTACCTCATACTACTTTTAATATAAAAAAAATCTCTTCTAATTAACAGATCACTCAGGATGGTGGACAGGCCGACTACGTGGCAAGCAAGGACTCTTCCCTAATAATTATGTGACCAAGATCTAACTGTCAGACTTCATCTGGACCATCCCAGCCTTTTCTATTTATCACCTTCCAGTAGCTCTAAAGTGCCTAAGATCTATATTTGAGAACATCAGACTAAATGACAGCCCTGTGCCTATCGGAAGGGGCAGTCTTTCAGCTACACAGAACCCAAATCAAGGACACCAAAGCACTGAACTGGAAGCTATTTATTGCCTTTAATCCTATATCTGGACTTTGCTGCCCAGTAGATCACAATGCATTGCGGAGCAGTGTGTTGCAAGAATTTACAGTAGCAAGATGGCTAAAGAGAGTGAATGATATGACAAGTTTGTGATAGCAAGTGCCTTAATTTTCTTGTTTACTGATGTTAAGTTATATGAAGATGAAGACTGTTTCTCTCACCAAGTGAAGGAAACTGTTTCATATGCTGCTAACACATCACTGACTGACATAGGAAAAGGCAATGCGGAATGAAACGGGATGCAGTAAGAATGTAGTTGCTATATATCAATAGATTGCAGAATCTGCTAGGCACTGCGTATTAGATGTATATTCACTGCACAGTTGCATAGTCTTATATGAGAATATGGCTGGCCCATGTTAATGCTGTTACCTGTTACAGGAAACATCTCAGTCTCTGAAACTGTAAATGGATAATTCAAATGACATATACTGTACATATATATATATAAAAATATACAAAAAGTATATAATTATGTTAAAATTAGCCATGAATGTATAACATAATCTGATTTTAAATGCAATTTTGAGGCTATTATATCAGGTACTTAACAAAATATGCACTTACCGCCATGTTTTTAAAGCTTTGTAGCCTTAACTGTTGCTTACGATGGAAATGAGTTGGTGTGATGTGGAAATGACTAGGTGTTGCAAATGTCCTAAATACCCATTAACAGACGCCAGCCCAGTCTGAAACCATTAATAGGCTATTTAATAAATATCCTTTGTTTTTATCTGCATGAGTTCTTTCCTTTTTTCTTTCTGTAATTGCATTACTTGTTGCTTGTGACAACTTTGACCAGATATGGCCATGTTTGGTCAATGACATTGTTCATATATGGCCAGTGGTCATATTAGGTCAATGATGTTACAAGCATCCCTGCCATTTTTTTATGTTCTGCTGCAAAGTGGGCAATGCCTTGACCGCAGCTGATTGGGCATAGATTTAGCAGAAGTGGCAACTTGCTTCCAGTTTCAGTCCGAGCCTAAGTTCGGCCCAAACACATGCTCATCCCTAGTCCCAGGTTAAAGTGATGAGTTCACCTTTGGAACATGTTACATGGTCCACCCCATTTTTAGATGTTCCCCTCCCCCCCCACACACACACCCCTTTCTTTGACAGCGGGAGGGGGATCTTCTCTACGTGCCTGCTGTCATTATTTGAAAAACGCTCACCAGAGCTCTCATAGTTCATTGACAGCTACAAGCTGTCAGCCATAATGACTGACAGTATTTGTAGGCATTGATTCACAGGAAACACTGAATGAATGATGCGGCCATGTGGGCAGAGCCCCAAGTCATTCATTCAGTTTCTTGTGAATGAATGCCTACAAGTACCATCATTCATTGCAGCTGACGGCTTGCAGTTTTCAATGAACTATGACGGTGTGGGTGAGCGCTCTGGTAGTTTTGATTCTTCTTGCTCTCAGGTAGCTGCCTGTCTGTACAAGGTATGCGTGGGCAGACACCTATGTTGGGAGTCTGCAGGAGCCTGAGATAGCACCCGCATTCTGCTGATCTCAGGTGCAATATTCTGCAGGCTCCCTAGAAAAAAAAATGTGCATTTATTATTATTGTTTAAAAGGTAAATATATATCCATTAAAATAACCTGCATAAAGTAACACTACAAACAGCATTAGTACACAAATAGACTAATAGGTTCATTTGAATAATACATTCACTTCATCCCTTGCAAATTGTAGGAGGAGAAGTCAAGAAAGAAAAAGAATAAGATTAAATTAATAAATAGTGCTGATGCCTTTTTCTCAGAACAGATTAGACGAACCCATAAAATAAAATCATCAAAGTTTATTACAAAATTTCATTTAAAAACCGTTGGGGTGTATATAGTCCCCTAAAATTCCACAGTAAAGTCTAAAGCAGGCCATAAACCCCTAAATAGCCCCCCAGAAAGGCACCTCCTCTCCTCAATCACTTGTAATCAAAAATATATATGAAAACATCATGATAATTACTGTATATGTATATCAGGAAAGGGGTGCAAAGATTTTGACGAATTTTGTACTTTTGCTTCTTCAGGTGTTCATGGTGTGCAGTTGAGTATGGCTGCTAAACAAAACACAGCATATAATATTATACATATAAAATACATCCTATGGTTATACATAATATATAGACATAATGATCTTAAATGTACAAAAGTAGATAACACCACCATTCGCGGCCGTGGTTGTCAATCACCGGGTCCCTGCCGGTGATTACTCGCTGGCGCCCGTGATTGCCGAGCATCTCCGACCGGGGGGAGAACTGTTTGTAATAGAACAGCCATGCAAAGCAATCTGCTTACAGTGAAGCACAAACACAGCACACTTGGTAAAATGCACACAGTTAACCTTTTGATTGCCCCAGATGTTAACCCCTTCCTGCCCAGTGCCATTAGTACAGTGTCAGTGCTTTTCATTAGCACTGATCACCGTATTGGTGTCACTGGGGATGTCAGTGACACCAAGTCGGTTCCCCCCAGTGTCAGAATGCCTGCCGTAGTCCCTCTATAAGTCGCTGATCGCCACCATTACTAGTAAAAATAAAAAAATCCCAGTATATATTCCACCACTTGCAAACGCTATAAATTTCATGGAAATCAATTAATTTACACATATTGGGATTATTTTTTTTTTTTTTTTTTTTTTTTAGCAAAGACGTAGCAGAATACATTTTGGCCTACATTTATGACTGTTATTTTATTTTATTTTTTTACTGGACATGTTTAATAGCAAAAAGTCAAAAATAGTGTGTTTTTGTTTTTTTCTCAAAATTCTGTTTTTTTCTGTTGTTTTTTTTATAGTGCAACAAAAATAAAAACCGCACAGACGATCAAATACCATAAAAAAAAAGCTCTATTCATGGGGAAAAAAAGGACATAAATTTAATCTGGGTGCAGCGTTGCATGACAGCAATTGTCAGTTAAGTAACGCAACACCTTAACGCAAAAAAATGGCCTGGTCAGGAAGGGGGGTAAATCCTCTGGAGGGCAAGTGGTTAACCAATATATTAATTTAATGTAAAGTTTTTTTGTTTTTGGTTTTTTATCTGGAGGAAGAGGGCCTGATGAAGCAAATGAGGTTTCCATGCATAAAAGCCAATGAAATGGAATAAGACCTATAGATGCCTTGAATAACAGCTAAGCACGAAACCATAAAACCCAGGCATTGTGTCAAAAAGGAGTGTATAAATTGCCAAAAAGCCTGAATTCATGGACAGGTCTGCATTCAAAGAGGAAGATCACTGACATGCCATTTTAGCTTCCATTAGGAGTCACATAGAGGGGAAAGAGAGGACATGTATGGACAAGCATAATGGTCAATGAATGAGGTAAAGCTTTGCTCATTTCTAATATCCAATCATGTTCAAGCAAAAATACTTTTTTTTTTTTCTTTGCACATGATTGGGTGTTCTTTGCAAAGTGAAATCTTGCCAAATTCACCAAGCTCTTTTCCATCCCATTCATCAGCTGGTTTTCAGAAACTTTGTAACAGCTTTGGGAACTAATCCTATCCTACTCTTTCCAGTGTGTAAAATAACATGTCCCCCACAAGCTGCAGGGGTTCCTCCTAACAACCCATACATTACTGTGTCCTGCAGTGACTAGAGGTCATCAAGAGCAGGGGTCTCCAAACTTTTCAAAGGGCCGGTATACGGTCATTCAGACTTTAGGAGGGCCAGATTAGGGCCAGTGCGGATAGCATATGTCCTGGCCCCAGCATCAGTGAGAATAAACATGGCCTCAAGGTTATGGTTAGTAGGAGGAGTAGTGCCCCATCATTGGTATTAGTGGGAAGAATAGTACACCATCATTGGTTCTACTGGGAAGAATAGTACACCATCATTGGTTCTACTGGGAAGAATAGTACACCATCATTGATTTCAATAGAAGAAGTGCTGCCACATTGTTGGTCTCAGACGGAGGAATAGCGCCCCAAGGACTGGATAAAGGGTAGCAAAGGGCCATATCTGGCCCTCGGACTGCAGTTTAGAGACCCTTGATAAAGAGGAACTAGACCAGCCAGTGGTGTGGAACCCACTGTTCGACCAGCCTGAGTACTCGATTTGTTTTCTCTAGTATTTTTATAGGGTCAATATAAGCACACAATATGATTTTTAAAGTAAATCTCTTACAAAACATATACTGTATGCACACTAGACGGAGAGTTAACACTTAGTTTCTCCTCTGGCTAGGAGATGAGCTCAGTCAGCCAAAAAAAAGGGGCTTGACCTAGGTTTGTTAGATGCATTCCCATTCATGTCAGTTGGGGTTCAACAGCTGCACGAAACCTGCAGACAGTGTACATTTGGGGCCATGCACCCTCATAACTGTCAAATTGGGAGCAGCAGCTGCCCTTGCATGGGTGTATATGCTGTAGTACTCCCATGTGAGTGAGGCCTCACAAAATAAGCACACTTTGCAGTGTAGGATCTGGGACACTTGTTTGCAACCATGTTTTTATTACATATGTTAATTTTGTCCATATATATATATATATATATATATATAATATTACATAGTTAGTCCGGCTGAAAAAAGACAAAAGTCCATTCAGTTCAACCATAGAAAACAAAAAAAAGTTATAATCCTATACCCACAGTTGATCCAGAGGAAGGCAAAAAAAACCCAGCAAAGCATGATTCAATTTGCACCTGCTGGGAAAAAAAATTCCTTCCTGATCCCCCGAGAGGCAATCGGATATTCCCTGAGTCAACTTTACCTATAAATGTTAGTATCCAGTTATATTCTGTGTATCTAAGAAAGAATCCAGACCTT